AACTGGGCCTGGGGTAGGCCTAGGTGGCGGTGGTAAATATTCAAAGGGGAACTTTGAGGTCTGACGTGTGGACAAGTCTCATGAAACTGACCGGATACATCCTGTTGTCTGCACGACTGTACTCTGGCTGCCCCGCCGAGGCCTTCTACAACGATCAACGGTGGGGGACGACACATGTACGGAAAGTCCGGCCGCCCTGGGTTCTTCTCCCTCGCGGACTAGATCACCCACCGTTTGCCTGCACGTTGACCTTCTCGGTCCAATATCGCATCCGGCTCAGATAATAACAATAATAGAATTAAACCAGTCATCATAAAAATAAAAACTACCACATCGACACCGTGGCGACAAAGCCAAAGGGGGACAACAGCGTGCTGCCTTCAACCCCGTGGTTCATTCACGTCGCCCCTATGATGTCGCTCGTTGGTTTCGATCCTTAAATCTCCCCACTGAACGTCTGATACCGTAACCAATAGTACTAGGCCCAAGGCTAGGTCCAATATGACAGATGCTTAATAAGCAGATACTTCGCGACACGTAAATCTATTGAACGTTTTCAAAAACCGCTTTGTTGTCGATGCCGTCCTCCGCACGTACGCACAAGTCGCAGGCAAGCGTACCAATCAAAAAGCGAAATCCTTTTAAATCCTAGTATAATCAAAAAAAAAAACCTAACAGGAAACAAAACACCGACTTGACAATTATGAAAGAGAAAAAAAATCACGAGCGCCTTAAGTCTACGCGCCCACACACTCCCCATTCTAGTCAACCGGTCATCCCTCGTAAGCCGCAGACACAGTCGTGCATTGCGCGATATACTTGAATTTTAAATCAAACCTATTTTATGTCATTTGCAAAAACCAGGGCGGATATCCTTGTAAGGGTATTCGCACCGACACCGCTGACGACAAAAACTAAAAGGGATATCCTCACCGGGCCCTCAACCCCACGACTTCACACCGCTCCAATACTCCTACGTTGTTGCCCGCCGGCCTCGGTCCCTGAATCTCCTAGTTGAAAGTCTGACACCGTAACCAATAGTGCTAGGCCCTAGGTTGAGCCTATTACTAGCGGAAATTTATATAAGCGGGTACCACGCAACTCGCAGGTCCACTGAAATGTTCCAAGGCCACGCCTTGGACTGTCAACCTAGTTCACAACCACCTACCTCCCGCACCTACCACACAACTTGCTCGTTTTCACATTTCTACCCTTACTTTTACTCCGCTCAGTACACAAAACCGTGCCGTCGTCGACGTCGTCCTTCGTACGCACGCACATATCACGATCAAGCGTACCAAACAAAATAAAATATATTTTAATCCTTAGTTTAATAAAAAAAACAAAATAAAATTTGTCGGCAACCATGCCGACTTTATAATCATCAACAAAAAGAGAGATCACGCGCGTCTTAAGTCTGTGCGCCCACACACTCTCTATTTCAAGTCAACCACTTAGTCAACATAATTGAAGCACAACCACGACTCGCTCGGTGTACGCAAATTTTAAACCAAACTCGTTTTCTGTCACTTGCAAAAACCAGGGATGCCCTTGTAAGGGTATTTGCATCGACACAGCACTTTCGCTTCGGAGTTGTAGGACGATTTGAGAGGGTCAGCGAACATGGACATCGTCGACGAAGTGGACACACACTTTGAAAGCATTAAGTGTTTCTTGAAGCTTTCGATCGGTCGGGAAGTGTAGTAGATGCCCATACTCCTTGATGAGGGCATCAACGACGTCCTCATTGCTCCGCATAGTGCTGGCTAGTCGGACGCCCAGACCATGTACCGATTGCTTATAGCAACCACTAGTTGCCCACCTGATGAGTGCGTAAGCAAACTTTTGCGTTGTCGGCGTTAGTTGTCTTCAGTTCGTCGATTGTCGTTGAATATGAGAGCAATGCGAGCAAGTATCTCATGAAAAATGGCCAGGGGAGTTTGTCAAAATATTAGAACACCTTCTCGTGCCGCCCGCCTACCCTTTGGAGATACTTCCATACTTCGTCACTGTGTTTGCAAACCCAAATGCGTCATCTAGCATCTATATGACTCCTGAGCATGGTGGCGGTCATGAAAGTCAAGGACAGACTGTGCACCGCACCTCTCAACAACAAGAGAACCTCGGACATGACTGATACACACATTGGCACCGCGACTGCCGATTGGATGACGACCATCGCCACCAAGTTCCTGTGGTTCATCCATTGTAGCATGAACATCGAATCATCCCAATTGTCCATGGGCGGATTCATGCTTCAAGGGCAACTGCACCATGGGAGAGCCTTGTGGCAAGGAAACAATGGGACACAACGACGATGGTGAAGACCAGATTGAGTCGAGGTGGTCTAAGGCGGCGCCTCGTGAGGGGTCCTCAGCGTGTGAATGCCATCGCCTCTCGAAGAGAGTAAGGGTCTCGTTAGACACTCCTAAAAATGTCATTTTTTAGGAATGTTGTGTGGTTTCACGCATTCCTAAATACGAGTTGGCGAATGAAAATGTGAAAACGGCGTTAGGACTAGTCCTAAAGGGTTTAGGAATCCCCAGGCAAAAGTTTCTAAAAAATTTACCTCCTCCCGAGCATCTAAAATTTTTAGAAACCCACATTTCACAGAGTTTTGGCGACGTGCGCATGGCACCTTTGTCTCAGACTTCGTGGTGCAGAAGCTGTCCGTTGGGCCAAGGGTCGGACATTGGAGGCCTCCGGTGGCCCGATGGAGGCAACGACCATCACCGGTAGCCGTTGGCGGGCGAAGTGGACTGTGGAGGGCAAGCGGGGGTACCCTCTCGTCGGTAGTCGACCGGTAGCTTTGATTAGAAATGCGGATGAGGACAACGACTCGCGCGGTGGGACCGGTGGCCCCCCGCAGATGCATTCGCCGGTGTGTCGACGACGTATCTCTCATCGTGTTCATGACAACGACCGTCACTACCAACGCCACAGCCTCGCGCTCTTCTTCACACAGTGCATGGTCGCCGTCGCGAAGGTCCATCTCCATCGCCTGTCGGAGTCCCGCACGTAACGCCTGATATCAACGCCGTAGGAGAATCCGCTTCTGTTCCCTGCGAGAGATTGTCTACATGCGGGGGATCAGCACCACCGTCTTTTGTACGTCATACATGTCCGATGGCTGTCCTCCTACCCGCCGCCCTGCGTCTGCAAAAAAATGAATTCGAAATTTCGAACGCCTGCGTCCGCTGACTTTTCACCTCCCCGTCATGAACCGGGCAGGGCCCGCCGCCCTGTGTACCGCGGACATGAGGCTGGAATGGGCGGATATCGTACGCGCGGCTACTTATACGTATATGAAAATGGGCCGCGGGATACCCTTTAGGACCAGTCCTAATAACTTTTCTTTAGAAACGCGTGTAACCATGCCGCACCCATTCCTAAAATTCTTTTAGGACTCATCTTATATCCTTTAGGAATCCTTTAGGAGTGTCGAAAGAGACCCTAAGAGGATGAACGTGATTTGGACAATGGTGAGACATATGTGAAAACTATAAAAAGAAATAAAAAGAAGAAGGTAAAAAACGAATTGACTTACCGTGAGGGCACGGGTGCGCAGCCCGTAGTTTGTTTCGTTTTGGCTGTGGCGAGGTCCTGTGTGTATGTATGCGCGCGCGCGCGCGCGCGTGTGTGTGTGTGTGTGTGTGTGCGTGTGTGTGTGTGTG